GGCGCCTTTGTGCACCTCTCCCAAAACATTTCAGACTCTTAAAAATACTTTGTTTTTTTTCCAGATTTAAGAAAATTGTGTACATGAAACTGACTTAGAGCACTACACCTTTGTAAACAAATTAAAACTTTTAACTTTTCTCTCCACCAGATCCCTCCAAACTCAAACTTTCCATAATTATATATATATAATTTGACAGAGAGAGACACACTGAGCGAGGAACAGAAGCGGGCAGAGTGGGAGAGAGAGAAACAGACTTCCCACTGAGCATGGAGCCTGATGTGGGGCTCGATCCCAGGGCCCCAGGATCATGACCTGAGCTGAAGGTAGACGCTTAACAACTGAGCCACCCAGGTGCCTCAAATATTCTTATATTTTTATGGCAATATTTTTTTTCTTAATAAGGTTGGTATGAATCTGCTCTCCTTCTAAAAGGACACAATTTACTGGAATGTCACATTTGAGAGAGACATGTATAGACTCAGATATGACCAGACAGTTTTAAGGACCTGATATTGACTTTATGGAACCAATAAAGCCCCTTGGAAATACCAGACTGCTAATTTCTTACAGAGTTCCTAGCAACCTCACCAGTTGAGTAAAAAAGGTCACTTTCTAACTGGTGTAGATCCACATGATATTTTGAGAAACTAGAGAAGAGAATAATTCACCCAGTTTATAGGTATTGCAGGGAAATTCTGATGCTAAGTATTTGGTTTGCCTCTTGGCCTTGAGGGGAAGTTGAAAGTTCAATCCAGAGATTTCTTATAAAAGATCTAGCATAGCAAGTTGAGATAGAGAGAGAGAGAGTGAGCGAGTGAGCGCAGGAGCTGGAGGAAGGACAGAGGGAGAAGCAGACTCCCCATGGAGCAGGAGCCCAATGCAGGGCTTGATCCCAGGACCCTGGGATCATGACCTGAGTATAAAGCAGATGCATAACCAACTGAGTCACCCAGGTGTCCATAAAGCAAGTTTTAAAGAACCTACATGGTCAACCACTATTTTTGCTTCATTTTTATACATAATCAGGACAATTTTTTTGGAAATGACTTATTTTGCAAACACATTCATATTAATTTGGCTTTTTAAGATTTTAAAAACGTATTTATTTGAGTGAGAGAGAGACAGAGATAGTGACAAAGAGCACAAACAAGGGAGGAGAGGGAGAAGCAGGCTCCCCCATGAGCAGGGAGCCCAACTTGGGGCTCCACCCCAGGACCCTGGGTTCATGACATGAGTGGAAGGCAGATGTTTAGCTGACTGAGCCATCCAGGAACTCCTGGCTATCTTTAGCAAAAGTAGGAATGGTAATAGAGAAAAATATGTTTCAATAAGACACCTTTTTAGATATTAGATTTTAATAATGTTCATTAAAATAGGAGTATATCCTGACTTTTATAGTGTCCTCCAGTGTCTGGCTACATTTAAGTGTCCAAGCTAACATTTAAAAATTTTTTTCTACCACCTTTCTCACAATTGAAATCATTTGAGAACTAAAATTGCCCCTTTTCCTAAAAGCCCTGCAATCTAAATGGAAATGACTTGATATAAACTTGAGAGAAATCTAAACAATAGATCATGTGTAGACAATCATCCTTCCTGTGGCTCTGTGGCCCACTCAAAAAAATCCCCCGAGACATCAAAACTGCAAAGCTAGAAAGTCCATCAGATAGTCACTGCCTGCCCCTCAGTCCATCTGAAGATGTCTCTAGTCAGACATCTAGAAATATCACTGGCAAAATTCAGGAATCAGACACTGGGTTTATAATTAGCTCCAACCATCAACCTGTATTTTACTTTTGTTTCCATAAAAATGTTGCTTCTCAATTACCTCACTGCTTGCCTAGTATGGGTCTAACTTTGAGAGCTCACCTGATTCCCAGCCTCCTGGGAAGGGTTTAACTAAACTGACCTATTGTCAGATTAAGAGACTGGTCCCATGAAAGGAAATAATCTACCTGTTCAACTTGGAATGTGTGAGACTTCAGGGAAGAATGAAAGGAGAGAACTGTGATAAGGACAGGATGCCCAAAGATGGGCCACTTTGGCATGAAGATTATTGTGAGTTAAAATGCAGTTGAAGGGCACCTGGGTGGCTCAGTGGGTTAAGCCTCTGCCTTCGGCTCAGGTCATGATCTACCAAGATGCCCTTCAATGGACAAATGGATAAGGAAGATGTGGTCTATGTACACTATGGAGTATTATGCCTCCATCAGAAAGGATGAACACCCAACTTTTGTAGCAACATGGATGGACTGGAAGAGATTATGCTGAGTGAAATAAGTCAAGCAGAGAGAGTCAATTATCATATGGTTTCACTTATTTGCGGAGCATAACAAATAGCATGGAAGACAAGGGGAGATGGAGAGGAGAAGGGAGTTGGGAGAAATTGGAAGGAGAGGTCAATCATGAGAGACTATGGACTCTGAAAAACAACCTGAGGGTTTTGAAGGGGCGGAGGGGTGGGAGGATGGGGGAACTAGGTGGTGGGTATTAGGGAGGGCACGTATTGCATGGAGCACTGGGTGTGGTACAAAAACAATGAATACCGTTATGCTGAAAAGAAATAAAAAAATATTAAAAATAAAAAAAAATGCAGTTGAAACCAAGAAGAATCAGGAAAAGCTCTTTACCTCCTCAGCTGACTAAAGGAATTTAGGTAGAGCGCCTCCTCTGGGAAGAGAGCTGGCACCACAGACACTAGACACACTAGAACATGAACTAGGTGGGGCAGACAGGGAGGGTCTATTTGGTCAAAGTCCTCTGTATCCCATTGTCCCTGAGTGGTTCCCCACACATTTGTCTACCACACATTTACTCTCCTTTCTCTGCCTGTGAATCACATTTTTTTTTTTGCATTAAATACTGGATACCTACCCCCTTTATGTGTATTTCAGAAAAACATATAAACTTCATCTTGCCTGAGTGTCTTTGGAATTTCCTTATCTCTGTGGATTCCTATATGTATGCCATTACATTTTATCTCTCCTATTAGTCTGTCTCATGTCAATTTGATTTTTTGTCCAAATAGAAGGATCTTGAAATATGCAGGATATTTCTTCTGACAGTAGTGAAGGAGACACAACAGGAAGGAAGGGCTTATGTTTTTCCTGTATAAGTGTTTAGTATAGTTCATGCTCTCCCAACTCTGAAATATGTGGACTTGGTTTCTGTCCCTCATCCAGTGTGCTCCTGGAACACCCGTGCTGTCCCAGGCAACAGCATAATCAGTGCATCACTCCTCTCTTCTCAAGGACATATCTCCCCACAGAGGAGTCTCTCCTATAGGAGCCTCCACAGAAGCTTTTCAATAAAAGAGGCTCAGAGACAAGGCCTGTGGGCCCAGGGCTTTTTATCTCACTTCCTTGTTGTCTGTGACACTGTGAGTAATGAATGCTGCTCTCACTGCCATGAGCTGTATGTAGCACAGAAATATTCAGCCTCATCCTCAGGCTGCAGCCCAGAGATGAGCAGAAGCCTTGCATTGGTTGAGGCATCTTTGGAGCCAGAGAAACAGCTGGGGACCCCAGGTCCCAACTCTGTATGTGGGTCTGAATAGTAGTACAGGAGATACTGGGGAGGGCTCCCTGGCTTCTGTTGGTACTAATTTATGTAATAGCTGCCAACACTGAAGCCACTGCTCAGGGTGCTGGTGAGTCTGGCTGTTGTTCCCAGACACGCAGAGAGGGAGGGTAACTGGGTCAGCACAGGCTGGGACAGGGAACCTGCAAACACAGACACTCATGGGTGATGGGGCATTTACACTGGGAGACTCTCAATCTCAGGGGCTGATTATATTTGGGAAACGTCCAGAAGTCAGATTTTGCAGAGGGAGGAATGGGAGGAAGAGAGGAGTCCAGGCCATGGTAGCACAGCTCCTGGTCCCCACAGTGGAACTGGGCTTTCTCAGGCTTGTCTTATCCTACATTCTGTCTCCAGGCAAAAGAGGATGCTCTTTATGTAAATTTGCACCCCTTACCATACTCTCTCAGACTCTACCTGATCTGTGATTCAGGAGACCTAAGGACAAGGAGTCTGAAGGAAGGTCCTGATGTGAATGCTCCACCCAGAAGTGGGTGGAGGGAACATCTGTAGGACACCCAAAAGACCTTGCCCAGGAACCTCTGCCATGCCCTGATGATTCTGGGCAGCAGGGTCTCATTAGGGAGCACAGGGGGCAGCTCAGCCTTTTCCCAGTACTGAGGCCAAGGGGTTTCCCTAGCTGTGAGGGTACCTCTGCAGGGCTCAGAGAGATGCATGGCGCCCCCTACTGATGACATGTTTGCCTGCAGCAACCTCAGTGTCCTGAGGTTAATGTCCAAACCTACACCACCAGCATTCAACAATGAGCTGAATGAGTGTGTTAAGCACCCTGTGGGGTCTGATTTAAAGAACATGAATACAGTGTCTGTGATGTGAGAGGCTTCCATGATGGAGGGAATAGTCACCCAGAATTAAACGTTCCTGTGAGTATGAGAATGTGTAGGGAACAGAAGTCATACAAAAGAGTGAGGTTATCCCACCCTCTGGGACAATTAGGGAGCTCCCAGAGGAGAAGCCTTTCAATTACATCTCAAGGGAGAAGTAACTTTTCTACACATGAAGGCCTAGAAGAAAAAATCAAAACAGGATGAGAAGGGATGTGGTGATTTCACAGACTGGGAAACCATCTGGTGACAGTGTGCACAGGAGAACAGAAGAGTGGACACAGCAGGGCAGGACTGAAGAAACTATGTGTTTGGGGAAGAACAGCTGAAGCAGGAAAAGAGGAGGTGGTAATGTAGGCAGCTCTGCTCACAGGACATGCTCAGGATTGTGGAACAGAAGGAACTCAGGGAGAGAAGGAGGAAAAGTACAGTGTGAACTGGGAGTTTCTGCTTTTACTAACTGGATAGATGGCGCTGTTGTTTACTGTAGTGGAACATAGGATAATGAGATGTTTCTCTAGTCATAAAGTAGTTGAAGATCTGGTAAACAAGTAGAAACACTGAATTCCAAGCTCAGAAATGGTCGACTCTGACCTCGAGTGGCAGCATGCAGTGACGCACGGCTTGAGGCTGTTGTCCAGGCATGGTGAGCAGCTCCTGGTATGGATCTGGACATATAAGAGGGACAGACAGTCATATAAAAAATGGGCAGAAGATATGAACAGACACTTCTCCAATGAAGACATACAAATGGCTATCAGACACATGAAAAAATGTTCATCATCACTAGCCATCAGGGAGATTCAAATTAAAACCACATTGAGATACCACCTTACACCAGTTAGAATGGCCAAAATTAGCAAGACAGGAAACAACATGTGTTGGAGAGGATGTGGAGAAAGGGGAACCCTCTTACATTGTTGGTGGGAATGCAAGTTTGTGCAGCCACTTTGGAAAACAGTGTGGAGATTCCTCAAGAAATTAAAAATAGAGCTTCCCTATGACTCTGCAATTGCCCTACTGGGTATTTACCCCAAAGATACAGATGTAGTGAAAAGCAGGGCCATCTGTACCCCAATGTTTATAGCTGCAATGGCCACGGTCGCCAAACTATGGAAATAACCAAGATGCCCTTCAATGGACGAATGGATAAGGAAGATGTGGTCCATATACACTATGGAGTATTATGCCTCCATCAGAAAGGATGAACACCCAACTTTTGTAGCAACATGGACGGACTGGAAGAGATTATGCTGAGTGAAATAAGTCAAGCAGAGAGAGTCAATTATCATATGGTTTCACTTATTTGTGGAGCATAACAAATAGCATGGAGGACAAGGGGAGATGGAGAGGAGAAGGGAGTTGGGGGAAATTGGAAGGAGAGGTGAACCATGAGGGAATATGGACTCTGAAAAACAATTTGGGGGTTTTGAAGGGGCTGAGGGTGGGAGGTTGGGGGAACCAGGTGGTGGGTATTAGAGAGGGCACGGATTGTTTGGAGCACTGTGTGTGGTGCAAAAACAATGAATACTGTTATGCTGAAAAGAAATTAAAAAAAAAAAAGAGGGAAAAAAACCTGCAACACAACCCCGGGCACCATCCCCATGTACAGAATGGGTGAGAAGAGTCCTGGAAGCAGAGTCCCTCAGTCCTTATTCAGTCCCTTTAACATTACTGCAGTGTTTGTGTTAGTGAAATCCTACCTTCTTCTCAGGCTCCCAAGTGGTGGTCTGGGAGTCAGTTTAGATGAGACTGGCACTTCTTAGTGTTTCCTGTATAAGTGTTCCAGGGAAGGCTGAAAACAGTGAATATGTGGTTGGTGGTGATGTTTGTAGACCTTCATACCCCAGGGGAACCTTAGGAGGAGTCATCAGTATGAAGCATCCAAGGTCCAGCTTAAGTGCCTGGGACAGTGGACATCATGAAGAAGTGAGGAAGGAAAAGACCTCAAAACTCTGACCCTGCCTGTAATTCCCCAGGACCTCCAGCCATGTGGAGGCAGAACTGCAGTCTCTCTCTCATACCCTTCAGATTTTGGAGGGAGGAACACTGCATTCTGTTCACTGGTCTCCACCCCCACTTCCTCTTCCTGGTGTATGTAATGAGGAGTGGACTGGGTTAACTCAGATGAGCTCTGTGGCCCTGGGCCCAGATTCAGGCAGGGAATGCTTTAAAGCTGCCATCACCCCATGGGCTCCATGGGACAAGTTCACAGTGGCCCTGGTGCCCCTTGACTGAGATGAGGGGATGGGAACCCAGAGAAAGGCCCCCCTCCTCCAGTGCTTTGGATTCCCTGCCCACTCTCCACAGAGGATGGGCCACAGCCAGATCCTTCTTAATCTGGAGGCTTATGGTTTCAAATGGCTCAGAATCCCCTGCTGTGTCTCTCACTGAGGACTGTCTCTTACTGTCTTCATTGCTCAAGTGCTGTCTTCACTACAGGAGTGAAGCAGCTTGCCAGCAGCATCCCTAATGCATGGAGCAAAAGGACAAAGGCCCCAGTGCCCCTTCCCCTGTGGATTCTCAGTATGGGAAAAAAGAAAATAGGTCTCTCTCTTTCTGTGTATCTCTGTCTCGGTCTCTCATCCCCACATCCTTCTGTCAGCTGAGCCTCTGTCTACACTCCTGGTGGGGGAGGACACAGGCTTGTTCTTTCTCTACCCATGACCTTGGGGTGTAGCCCCAGGTATGCTGTGTAATTTCCAGGCCTTGTAAGTAATAAACCTTTATTTTTCTGTTTCCTGTCTTGTTTCTGAAGGGTGTCTTGCAGTCATAATAAGAACCACAAGGGCAGGTCTAACACCGGTTATGGAGAGGATGAGACCTGCACAAAACATGAGCTTCTGTTCCAGGAGGGAGAATGCTGGCTTCTACCACCTGCAGCCATTGAATTCATTGTTCAGTTACAGTGTGTGGCCCATGAAACATCATATTACTGACCACTCACCCCATGGGACATAGATCCATCAACTGGAGTATAGGGCTCATGCATGCTTTCTTTTGTCTCTGGACTTACAGGGTTCGCTCCTTTACAACATCCCTCTGGTCAGCACCTTCTGGCCCACCCCTTCAGTAAGATGGGTTTATACCTCTGTAGAGCAGGAGACAGGATAATGTCACACTGTGCACTCCATCATGGACCCCAAAATTCCTAAATGACTTTACAGGCACTCAGTAAGGTGCTATCACTGTGTTGTAGAGTTTACTGAGCTGTGACAACACAGCAGTGTGGTGTGCCTGCTATCACAGTGTCATTTACAAGAATGACAATGCCATCAATACAAGTACTGTGTTTCACACATTCACCCTCCTCCTCTTTCTCCCTCTCTTATCCATTCCTGACCACATCACCACCTCTAGATTATTGCCTCTTCCAAAATGTAATATAATTGCAATTTTATGAAATATAGTCTTTTTGATCTTCTTTCCTAAGTAGTATACATTAACAATTAATTTATATTACTGTGACTTCAGAGGCCATTACTATTAAATTCTGACCAATATGCTAGAGTACAGATGCACAACCTACTGGGGGACATCTGTGTCAAGTCAACTTTTGGAGATTTAGTAAAAAGCTGTAATAAACATCCATGTGCAGAGTTTTGATTGCTATTGGGTTTGGTGATTAAAAATAAAGCTGTTATAAATACTCACATGCAGGATTCTCTCTGGAGAGAATCGTTTTGATTTACCTTTTGTAAATTTAGGCTGAAATCCTTTATATATTCCTTACAAATACTGGAAAATAAATAAAACTAGTCCTCTCATTAAAGTTAAACAAACATTATTTAAAATGCAAATAGAACTAAGGAATTGATCAAGCAATGTGGTTCCTGGGAGCGGGCACCAGACCTCTCTTGACCCAGGCCCTCTTTATTGGTTGACTAGTTATCTCTTCCTCCTTCAGCCTCCAGCATCTCCCTTGACAGCACTAGACCCTGATCCTCCTTCTTTGAGAAGATCAATGACATAAAAACAAAATCCCTAAGTCTCAAGACCCATCTTGGGCTATTGGATTATTTAAAGTTAGACAAAAAAAAAATGTACTCTACTCCACTTATTTATGCCATCTTTTATATTTACACCTGAATTGTGATGATATTAAGCTGTAAGTTTCTGACTATAAATTACTTCTCAAATTTGTGTTTTTTATTTTGTGGATTTATATGCTCCATTACTGAAATATTTTCAATTACATTTTTGCAAGTTATAGAAATTATTGAGTATTTATTCTACCTATTCAGAGCCAGAGATTCACAAAGTGTATCATTTTCCATTGCAGGAAGGTGCTTGGAATGTTTGTTGCTATCTGAAATGACACACAGTAAAGGAATCAGTAGGATGTGACATGTGACCAGAAAAAAGCCAGGGATATTGACAAGAGGATAATTCATGTCGAGTGGGAAGGGGACAATCTAAGCAAATCCTTAGGGAAGTTGCTTGTCAAGGACCATCAGTCCTCCCCTAGATTTGTGGGTCTGCCCCACCTATGAACTCCCTGTATGATGAAGGAACTCAATGAAGATGATTGAGAAGACACATGGACATTTAACAGAATATTTGTTCCCTTGGAATGAGGCATCTTGTCTCTCTGCGGTAGTTGTTATTTCCATACATCTTCTCTACATACATGTCTCCTATCTACTTCTTGTCTTGGACAAAAGCAGGTATGGGATGAAGGTGAGGACAAAAATAAGGAACAGATTCTCAGGAGGGATATAGAAGAATGTGGCCCGAGAAAAAGCTCTACATGCAGCAGGTAATGTAAAGGGAAGCATTCCCTTGCAGAATTCAAAGTGAAGGTAGGATTTCCTCCCTCTCCTTTGAGAATGACAAGTGTGATAGAGTGGGGAGAAATAAATCAATTACCCTGATAAGCAGGAGCTCCAATTCATGGGGATTCTCTGGGGAGGAGAAAAGTTAAAGTAAATGGGGGAAGGCAGGAGGAGCTTCTGAGTCAGAAAGAAAGGACCTCATCTGCCAGTTTCACCATAGGTTCCCCATACAGAGCCCCTGCCTCTCCCCAGAGGAACTGTCTGAGGAACATTAGAAATGTGGTAGAATGAATGGCTGAGGGCAAGAAGAAGCTGGATGGGTACAGAGGTCCTGTGGGAAGACTAATTCAGTTACAACTTCAGCCATTCTCAGCTCAGAGAAAGTCCTGTGAGCTCAAGCATCTGTTGTCTGTCACCCACATTGTGAGATCCAGTTTGGGAGAGATTCACCTCCTCACTCCTCTCAGGATACCCTAAAGCTCTTCTACCCATCAGAAGATCCCCCCCCCCCCCCCCACGCAAGGGTCCCTGACATTTGGTCACAAAGACAGGGACTTCATGTTGTTGACATTTCTGCTACTGCTATCCTGCCTCCAGAGAGGGAGTAGGTGACAGTCCTGGAATCCCACATGGAGTGGGGCTAGATGGATGGCAACTCTAGCAGGGGAGGGAAGGGACTCCTCTTTGAGCTGCACATGGGTAACAGGTGGTGTTCTCACATGGATTGTATGTTGCAAATTAATGTGGATCCATGTAGGGAAAATGACAACAGATCATGGTGAGGGATGGAGTCATGGAGTCTGGGGATACAGAGTCTTGCTGACTTTTCCCCTTCACTCTTGAGAATAGAATCAATCATGCATATGGTGTTGCAATTCCCCATATCCAATCCCCACCTAATTCTGGGCGGGGTGATGTTTCTAGCCTTAGGGCAATGAAAGATGATCAGTGCTCTCTGCTGACTGAGACAGGACATGCATCCATCAGGTTCATCATATGGTCGGAAGGGTTATGGTGCAGGAGAATCACACCTGGGTGGGGGTCGTTGCTCCCAGTCCCACTGGAGCAAGCTCCTGGCTGTAGATGTGGATGGGCATTGGTGTTTACTCTCTTGTTAGGCACACAGCGCCCCCTTTTTGCCAAAGCAACGCTACCTGTATTTATATTACACAGAGGGCACTAAAAGCAGGTAACCAGCTTCTGATAATTTTTCTATCTTTTTTTTTAAGATTTTATTTATTTATTTGACAGACAGAGATCACAAGTAGGCAGAGAGGCAGGCAGAGAGAGAGGAGGAAGCAGGTTCCCTGCTGAGCAGAGAGCTTGATGCGGGGCTCCATCCCAGGACACTGAGATCATGACCTGAGCTGAAGGCAGAGGCTTTAACCCACTGAGCCACCCAGGCGCCCTATGATAACTTCTCTTAAACTGGCAGAAGGAAGTCTGGGTGTTGGGATCAGTGATTATCCAGATCTCTTCCCTCCTGTCCTACTTCATCCCCAAACCTATTCCTGCTATGTCTCCAGAAACATTAGTGGTTCCCACTGATATTAGGTCATGATTTTCATGCTGCATTTAGCATTCCCAATGTTCTGATCACAAATTCATATATTACCTTTGTGTTAAATATTCACCAAATTATTCTATTTCAGATATGCGGGGTATTTACCACAGGATTGCTGATTAATGCTTCTAATGTATAATTGACCACAACAGAGTCATCTCCTGTACCAGATAATGGTCCAAATTAACCCATATTATCTTATTTTAGAGATTATGTCCTGAAAAAGTTGGTGATGGCCACATAGAGATGGAAAGTTTCAGAATGCCTTTTTAGTGATAGGGCAGAAATTCTCTAAGCGGCAACCACCTGAGTTACATTAATTATTGGAGTTGTTACCTCACAGTGGCTTTTGTCAGAAACAGTGAGGACCTAGTGAGAGCCCAGGGAACACAAGCAGAGGACTTTGCCTCCCTTCTGAAGTGACCTGGACACAGTGTAAGCAGTGCCCCTGTCAGCTCATATATGGCAATTTTGGCCAGTTTCATCTCCAGCATGAAGACCCTAATTTAACAAATATCCCGAGTTCATTAAGGCATGTTTGGTCCCTGAGAAGCACCTGGAATCCCAGAATGCTTTATTTACTTGAGACTGAATGGAAACTCAGAAGCCATTAGGGAAAGTTCCCTGGCTTCTAGTGTTAAGAAAAGAACATTGTTTGCCACTAACTTTGGAAAAATCTGTGAGTTCCATTTAAATTCACTATAAATCTAAAAGTTCTCTTAAAATTAAAGTCTATTTATTAAAAAAAAAAGAAAGAATGCTGTGAAAGTCATATGGCAAAGGAAAAAACAAAGGGGGCAATTGAGAGTTCTAGCAAGTTCAAAATAGTAAATAAAGACAAATAAGAAACACCCATTTCCCATAATAATAAATGAAATAACAGAAAAAAAAGGAACAAAGAGGAATGTTAGATCTAATTGACCCATCAAACTCTTGTTTGTAAATGACAAAATAGATTAGTCAATTACTAACTTTTGAATGAAAGTAGATGATGCACATCTATACATAATAAGAAATGATGTGTGGACAAATGAAAATATTTTGTTGTTAACCTCTACTAATATTAGATGAAAAGCACACTTTCCTAGGATGAAAAAAAATGTTCCCTAGAAGGAAGTGAATAAACAGACCAATTTCTAAAGGAATTGTATTGTGGAATTATTCCACAAGAAGGGATAAGATCCAATTAATTTTATAGGAAAAAAATCAAGCAAGCCTTCATAGATAAGATGGATTCATTTATTGAGTTCATATTTATACATTTTTCAAAATATTGAAACATCCAGAAAATTAAATTATTGTAGAAAGCAGTTATAATGGTCATAACTACCCCTGATAGATATAATACAGAAAAAGAAAATTTCAGGGTAATATTATGAATATTATGAAACATTGCTATAAATCTTCTGAATAAAATATCAACAAAGAGATTCCAATATCACATTAGTATACTGTGCCTTAGGACTGATTTATTCCTGGTATACAAGTTCAGTTCCATAGTGATGGAATATAAACCTTTTATTAATAGATCAATAGATAAAATCATATTTTCTCAAAAGAACTTGAAAGAGCCTTTGACAAAATTTAAATGAATTCTTCATAAAAAACACTTAAAATAAAAATAGTAAAATACATCTCAATATGGTACCACATTCTTTTACACACACATATATTTAATGTCTCAGCCAGGGCCTTAGATCATGGAGTGTATGGCAAGAATATTTCCACAAGATCAGGAACAGACAAATATGACCTTTAACTCTATTATTACTCACCTCATTCTGTAAGTAATTGACAATGCAATCATGCAAGAAAAATCACTGGTTGGGTTTTAGCATGGATGAGAATGGGAAGGTATTCATTCAAAAGATGCAAATACATAATTCAGGGATAGATATTCCAGTGCTGGTGCCGTCCTGGCAGAAGAAATCTCCCCAACTTGTACAAGCAACAGGGATTCCTACTGATGACTGAGAGGATGGCAGAGCTCCTGAATCTTCTATGAATAGGTAAATGAATCCTTAGAAGTCTGGACTGAGATGAGCACACAGGACCTACCACTCCCCATCCATTAACTTCAGTGCAGACATTCTGTCTCCCAACCTGATGGGGGATGTCCTTTCTGTGTGTTTTTGGACATATTGTCTAGGAAAGTGTCTGACTTTGATGGGAGAAGGGAAGGAGAAGCCCTCTCTGCCAGGTGATGCTCTTACATGCACCTGGCCCCATGATGGCAGCAGCAGGAACATCAGAAGCAGAAACCACAGGCTGAGCCTTAAAAGCTGCTGGAGCTCCCCCTCCTGGCAGACGGGAAAGGGGTTTTACTCCTAATAGTCACAGGTCTGGGGCTCTGTGTGAGCCCTGAGAATGTTGTCACAGGAGGGACTGTGAGGAATATCCCCATCTCAGACCACGGCCCAATGATGATCATCAGGAAGCCAGAGTTGCCAGACATGGAGCCAGAGAAATGGTTATCCCCACAGGGTGTAACCATTATAATAGGTGAGGATTTGGGGCTCCATTCATCAGAGCTGTTGGTACAAGGATACATATTGTACACCCCTGATGTGTCATGTCTCAGACAAGCCTGCATTCTGCATGCCTGTATCAGTCTTGATCTGTCATGAACTCATATCCTAGGGCAGCCTGCCCCTGGAACTGAGGAATGTCTGCTTAATTTGAGAAAACCATAGAATGTGGCCATGTCAAGGACAGGGTTTGGAAGATAGATTTAAGAGTATGGGTACAGATTTGTAGACAAAGTTCTCTAGAGTGTATCTCAGACTCCAGATTATACCAAGAAAACAAAGGAACCAGCTGACAGCCAAGAAGTAAAGGCTGCACAGATAACTGCATTGCAGAGGGGACAGCAGTTTTTTGTCTCGCTTCACCAAAGGCCCCACACACTGTGTGAGCACTGAAGCTACTGTCAGTGGACTGGCAGTAATAATCAGCCTCATCTTCAGCCTGAAGGCCACTGATGGTCAGGGAGGCTGAGCTGCCTGACTTGGAACCAGAGAATCGATCAGGGACTCCAGGATTTCTGTTATTATCTTCATAGATGAGGAGAATGGGTACCTTTCCTGGGAGCTGTTGGTACCAGCTCACATAATATGTGTATTCCTCTTCATCATAATCCATGCTGGTAGGGATTCCAGTGCAGGAGATGGTGACACTCTCACCCAGAGCCCCAGACACAGAGGGCGGCTGAGTCAGCACAGCCCAGGATCCTGGAAGGGGGAGAGACACATAGAGAGTGATGCTTGAGTCTGAAGACAAGAGGAGGAAGCAGGACCCCATGTGTTCTCCCAGGGCCTCTTCCCCTTTCCCCACATGTAGTCACCTGTGCACTGAATGAGGAGGGTGAGGAGTACAGGGGACCAAGCCATGATGGAGGTCTTCACAGATCTTGCCTTCTGTGCCCCAAAGCTGAGCAGACCTCCCCTAATCTCTCCCTTCCCCTCTTCATCCTCTGAGAGAGGGAGGGCTTGTCTATGCAAATGTGACCCCCAGCTCTCTGACACTTCATTGGACCTGAATCAGGTTCCTCTCCAGAGGATGTCAGGGGGGATGAGAAGGGGAAGGGCTCTGTGGGGTCATGGGGTAGGAAGGTCATAGCTCTGAGCCCTGAACAGAAGTAATAGTGAAGGTGGCAAGTCACAGCTCTCAGAAACTGGCCCTGATTGCCCCCGGTGTCAGATACAGACATATCTTTGTGTAAAATGGTGACCAGAGCCCATAAGATGTGACTCCCCACTGCTCTGATCACTGTCCCCTTCATTGGAGCTATATCAGTTGTCCCCTTATATGGCCTCCCATCTCATCAAGACAGACTTTTTGCTCTACTTACACTCCTCAGGGTGATCTGTCCACAGTTTGCTCATCTGTTCTTGGGTCAGGACTGAGATGGTGTCTCTACACAAACTTCTCTAGATCAGGAACCAGTCCAGAACAGTGCCAGGACCCCAGGTATACATGATCCCTTCTGTGCATGATGCTGTGTAATTCCTCTAATGTGAGTCCTCCCTGGTTCCAAGCCCTCCTTCCTCTAAGGTTCCTCAGCATTGAGGAGACAGGAAACAATTCTCTCCAGGTTGTGAGTAGAATTTTTGTGTGCATTCCTAGAGGGTTACACACTGAACATCTTTGTTACCTGTCACTGTTTACACCTGCTTGAAACAACAGTTCTCCATACACTGGGGCAGTGATTCCCTCCTAGGATCTATTCTCCCAGCACACATGCACAAGTCTGCATGAGCCCTGCCATGTGAAGCTGTGTGTGGGACTGACCTCAGAACACAAGGAATAAATGCTAGAAGATCCAGGAGGGAAGGAGTGACACCTGCAGATGCTCTGGCTGAGACCCAGTCACAGAGCTTATGTGTCAGTCACACCTTAGCTTACAGTGTACTTAAAATGGATGTATGTTGTTTAAACAAAACTCATCTCATTAAGATTGATTTAAGGTCATGGCAATGTCAAGGTGAAAATGCAGATAACAGTCTTGTGTATACTTTTCCAAATCTGTGCTTATTGTAGAGAGAATATGGGTAGAAAATGTGGTTAAAAAATGGATGGAAAAACAATGGGAAATGATGTCTTTTTTTTTAAATTTTTATTGTGTTATGTTAGTCATCATAGAATACATCATTAGTTTTTGATGTAGTGTTCCAAGATTCATTGTTTATGTATAACACTCAGTGCTCCATGCAATACATGCCCATGTTTTTTTAAATTTTTTAATTTTTTAAAAACTACATTTTTTACAAGATTTTTAAAATCATATTTTTAATTTATTTTCAGCATAACAGTATTCATTGTTTTTGTACCACACCCAGCGCTCCATGCAATCCATGCCCTCTCTAATACCCACCACCTGGTTCCCACAAACTCCCACCCCCCCACATCTTCAAACCCTTCAGATTGTTTTTCAGAGTCCATAGTCTCTCATTGTTCACCTCCCCTTCCAATTTCCACCAACTGCCTTCTACTAACTCCCCATGTCCTCCATGCCATTTGTTATGCTCCATAAATAAGTAAAACCATATAATAATTGACTCTGTCTGCTTGACTTATTTCCCTCAGCATAATCTCTTCCAGTCCGTCCATGTTGCTACAAAAGTTGGGTATTCATCCTTTCTGATGGAGGCATAATACTCCATAGTGTATATGGACCACATCTTCCTTATCCATTAATCCATTGAAGGGCATCTTGGTTCTTTGGCAACCGTGGCCATTGCTCCTATAAATATTGGGGTACAGATGGCCCTGCTTTTCACTACATCTGTATCTTTGGGGTAAATACCCAGTAGTGCAATGGCAGGGTCATAGGGAAGTTCTATTTTTAATTTCTTGAGGAATCTCCACACTGTTCTCCAAAGAGGCTGCACCAACTTGCATTCCCACCAACAGTGGAAGAGGGTTCCCCTTTCTCCACATCCCCTACAACACATGTTGTTTCCTGTCTTGCTAATTTTGGCCATTCTAACTGGTGTAAGGTGATATCTCAATGTGATTTTAACTTGAATCTCCCTGATGGCTAGTGATGATGAACATTTTTTCGTGTGTCTGATAGCCATTTGTATATCTTCATTGGAGAAGTGTCTGTTCATATCTTCTGCCCATTTTTGATATAATTATCTGTTTTGTGTATGTTGAGTTTGAGGAGTTTATTATAGATCCTGGATATCAATCTTTTGTCTATACTGTCATTTGTAAATATCTTCTCCCATTCCGTGGGTTGCCTCTTTGTTTTATTGACTGTTTCCTTTGCTGTGCAGAAGCTTTTGATTTTGATGAAGTCCCAAAAGTTTATTTTGGCTTTTGTTGCCTTTGCCTTTGGAGACATACCTTGAAAAAAGTTGCTGTGGCTGATATCGAAGAGATTACTGCCTATGTTGTCCTCTAGGATTCTGATGGATTCCTGTCTCACGTTGAGGTCTTTTATCCATTTTGAGTTTATCTTTGTGTATGGTTTAAGAGAATGGTTGAGTTTCATTCTTCTAGATATAGCTGCCCAGTTTTCCCAGCACCATTTATTGAAGAGACTGTCTTTTTTCCACCGTATATTTTTTCCTGTTTTGTCGAAGATTAACTGACCATAGAGTTGAGGGTCCATATCTGGGCTCTCTACTCTGTTCCACTGGTCTATGTGTCTGTTTTTATGCCAGTACCATGCAGTCTTGGTGATCACAGCTTTGTAGTAAAGCTTGAAATCAGGTAACGTGATGCCCCCAGTTTTATTTTTGTTTTTCAACATTTCCTTAGCGATTCGGGGTCTCTTCTGGTTCCATACAAATTTTTGAATTATTTGCTCCAGCTCTTTGAAGAATACCCGTGGAAGTTTGATTGGAATGGCATTAAAAGTATAGATTGCTCTAGGCAGTATAGACATTTTAACAATGTTTATTCTTCCGATCCAAGAGCATGGAATGGTTTTCCACCTTTTTGTATCTTCTTCAATTTCTTTCCTGAGTGTTCTGTAGTTCTTCGAGTACAGATCCTTTACCTCTTTGGTTAGGCTTATTCCCAGGTATCTTATGGTTCTTGGTGCTATAGTAAATGGAATCGATTCTCTAATTTCCCTTTCTGTCTTTTCATTGTTAGTGGAGAAGAAAGCCACTGATTTCTGTACATTGACTTTGTATCCTGCCACGTTACTGAATTGTTGTATGAGTTCTAGTAGTTTGGGGGTGGAGTGTTTTGGGTTTTCCATATAAAGAATCATGTCATCTGCAAAGAGAGAGAGCTTGACTTCTTCATTGCCAGTTTGGATACCTTTTATTTCTCTTTGTTGTCTGATTGCTGTTGCTAGGACTTCTCATACTATGTTGAACAAGAGTGGTGAGAGTGGGCATCCTTGTCGTGTTCCTGATCTCAACGGGAAGGCTGCAAGCTTTTTCCCATTGAGGATGATATTTGTTGTGGGTTTTTCATAGATAGATTTGATGAAGTTCAGGAATGTTCCCTCTATCCCTATACTTTGAAGCGTTTTAATCAGGAACCGATGCTGCATTTTGTCAAATGCTTTTCCTGCATCAACTGAGAGGACCATGTGGTTCTTCTCTCATTTCTTATTAATTTGTTCTATCACATTGATTGATTTG